GGTTACATAGTCGAAAATCAAATCATATTTAATTGATATTAAAAATTTGTTAGACGAGAATATGGGTAATAAATGAAAATACAATGAAAAGGGAAAAATCTTACTCGCCAAACTATTTATGTGTTTTAAAAAAGGAGATTTATGTAATCCATTAGTAAATCGAAAAAACTAGACTATTATAATAATATAATTTATAGGGACACATTGTAACTTGTAAACAAATAATTATGTACTTTACTATATATACTACCAGATTGGCAATTCATACACACATAAGAATAGTATCTACATGAGTGGAGGGAGGGTAGGATTTGGCCCCCAATATTTGGAAGGGGGTTAGGGGGTAGGCAATGGGGGTAGGAGAGGGTAGCTGGACAAATTGATTGGGAGGTTATTAATTAAATTTTTAGATAAAATAGGGCAAAATATATTGCTGTAAAAATATATATAATACATTTATTATGAAACTATTATATATATATATATATTGCTAAACATCAACCAAATCAATAGATTGCAAATTAATAGTTATGAAAAGAATGAAGCAGGGCTATACCTGCGAGTAAGTAAAAATATATTTTATTATTATTTACTGTTTCTTTTCTTTTACACATGCTATATATATATACTATATAAAATTATAATATATATGATTAAACAAAAAAACAAAAAGTAAGGTTACGAAAAATAAAAAGTAATATAAGTTGAATTTGAATTCATAACAAAAATCAAAAAAATTATTTGAATAAATATAATGAATGTACGTTATATAAATTAAAACATATTACTATTCAATAACCAATATAATTTATTAATTCCTATAATGTAACATTCTCCCTCTTCTACAAGCCTTCCCATAATTTCATTTAAGAAGTTATAGAGAGTTTGTTGTTGAAGTGGTTTATCGTTTTGGTTGTCAATGTATAAGTCACTAATCGTTGGCTTGTCCTAATCGTTGGTTTGTTTGTTTTTGCACGTTTTTGTTTAAATAGTGAGCTTGATATCCATATAGAATGTTGTCCTTACAAATCGTGACTTCATATATCTTGCTTGTACTCAGTTGTTATTATTACCATTTTTCAAAATCGTTATTATCAGTAAGTTACGAATAATAAGAAATAATAGTTCATCAAAATATAAAAATAAGTGAAGAATGATAAATCAATAAGATTGTTATATAATATTTTTAGCGTTTTAATTTTTCGCGTTTTAATGACTTTTATTTTTTCGCGTTTTAGTGTTTAATTAATTTTTGCGTTTTAGTATTTAATTTATTTTTATTTATTTTCAATCTCCGAGGTTAAAATATGCAAATAAAATATTATTCACATTTCCCTCTCTTTAAATAAAAAATTTAAATTTCACACCCTAGTTTTAATTCAATAAGTGTTATTTTTAATAAAAATTCTTCCTAAGATAATTTTTAGAAAATGATCTCATCACATCATTTAAATATTTATCTAAAATGAAGATGTAACATAACCACTTGTCTTCAAAAGCTTTATTTCAAAAACATTTTTATCATATTAAGTATTACTTATAAGGGTTATTTAAATCAATCCCTTTTAATTCATATGTTTTAATTACATTTTAATATATTTAAAATTAAAGTTTTATCTTCTTGTTTAGGATTTTTAATGGTTTATTTTTAATTATATCTAAGAATTCATCCTTAGGTTTAGTTAATTTACAACAATTGGTCATCATTCAAGAAATCAAAAAATATCAAGATTTCACTAAGAAATTAAGTAAATAATTTTTTTTAAGGCTTTTTATGTGTTCAAATATATCCATTATGATTTTACATTTTAGTGATTTTAAAATTTATGCCTTTATCTCGGCATAAAATCTTAATTTATAATAACTTTTCTTCTTACGTGGATTAGAATAATAAGTAATCATCATTGGTCTCACAATATAGAATTCATAGCCTAACGTCCAACTTCCATATTGGTTCTTTCTAGGTTGCCACATTAGGTTAGGTGCTGGTTATCATATTCCAGTCCAACATCCAGAACCAGGACACCATGAAGAAAGAAGCTTTTTGCATGAAAGAACGTGCTAAGGCTTGATTCTTGGTCATCTCAATAGATTAGATAGTCATCTCAGTAGATTAGGCATTGGTCATATCAATAGATTAGGTAGTCATCTCAATAGATTAGGCAGTCATATCAATAGATAAGGTAGTCATCTCAGTAGGTTAAGCAGTCATCAATAGATTAGGCATTGATCATGTCAATAAATTAGGTAGTCATCTCAATAGATTAGGGAGTCATATCAATAGATAAGGTAGTCATCTCAATAGGTTAAGCAGTCATCTCAATAGATTAGGCATTGATCATGTCAATAAATTAGGTAGTCATCTCAATAGATTAGGCAGTCATATCAATATACAAGGTAGTCATCTCAATAGGTTAAGCAGTCATATCAATAGGTTAGGTAGTCATCTCATTCTAGTCCACCACCCAGAGCCAGGGCACCATGAAAAGAATGAAGGAGGGCTATACCTGCGAGTAAGTAAAAATATATTTTATTATTATTCATTGTTTCTTTTCTTTTTACACATGCTATATATACTATATAAAATTATAAAATATGATTAAACAAAAAAACAAAAAGTAAGGTTACGAAAAATAAAAAATAATATAAGTTGAATTTGAATTCATAACAAAAATAAAAATATATTTGAATAAATATAATGAATGTACGTTATATAAATTAAAACATATTACTATTCAATAACCAATATTTTAATTTATTAATTCCTATAATGTAACAATTTTTAAAATTGAGTATTGATAATTTAAATTATTCTTTCTAAAATATAGAGATTACCATTATAATTATAAACTTGTAAGTGGGATATCGCTGCCGAAGGCGATAAATTTTTAGGGGGGTAGGTATAGGTATTTGAGAGAAATTTGTCTCTAGTAAATATTCTGCCATGTAGATGCTGCATAAGAATCAGTTATAATGTCATTTTTTATTTGCTCTTCGAACTAATTATCTTATCGATTTATTGAATCGATAATCAATCCATAAAATGGCCTTAAGTTGACTCCTATGTATGTACACTTTAAATGCATTTACTGAATTAATTGCTAATCTAGTATACACATAATTTACTATACCATAAATATAGAAATTTGTCTTATGTGCAAAAAAATATATATTTATGAATAAAATAATATATAAAAATCGATACTTGAATTATTTTATATTAGGTCGGATTTCACTGGTAGGCTCTATTATCTTGTACATACATATTATAAATTATAACATTATGTATTATAATCAAAATTTAATGGAAGTAAAAGTAATTATTGAAATAATTTATTAAATCGTCTAGAAAACAGCAGCATCGCTAGCTTTTTACAAAAATGGATGTTAAAAAGTGCTAATTTATTTTTTAAAAGTTTATAAAAATTTTTAAACTATTTATATATAACTTCTGGTTTATTTTGCACCATTTTGTTTTTGTTAAACCCTTCATTGCTCAAGTGAAAAAATATTTAGAAATATTATATATTAAAGTCAAATTAATTTGTAGATTTCATTTAAAAATATGTTAAATAAATTATAAGTTAGTAAATTAAACTTTTATTTTACAATTTAATGTTATTTTATCATTATATGACAGCGTTTATCAAGGGAGTCAAAAAAGTGACAATTTATTTTGTAACATCACAATGTGATATATAAAAACATATATAAAATCGATGATGTAGAAATGTTATATATGGTTCAAATATTAATATAATATTAACTATTTCAATTAAAATGATATGTAAAAAAAAGTGTATTTATGCTTAATATAATGCTAAAACAGATGAAAAAAAGTTACACGGATGAACAGATGGTTAATATGCCCCCAAGCTCCAAAAAACCTTTATAAATTTTCAACTATTTAAAAAAATCAAAATTAATTTTGTACATATATGCTTTATCTAAAAATGTTAAGCTACTATAAGATTAAGGCGAAAATATCGAAAGAATTTTAAGTAATAACGTTTTTTAAATGACTTGGGTTTGCATCAATGAAGGGTTAAGGCAAAAGGTAAGAAATTATATTAATAAAAATATTTAATGACAAAAGTATAATATTTATTTAAAATAAGCACCTTAAAATTTAGTAAGAAAGTTATTTATAAAATATCAATGTATTTGTTCAAATAGGTAATAATTATTTAAAGATTTGGTGCTAAAGTCCCTTTTTTAAGCATTTGGATTTATTTAAAAAATTAGGAAATTTTTTTCCAGTGTCTTTATATTCGGAGTGCATTTATCCGAGTCTTTTTTTGTCAGGATATTTATGTCAGAGATTTATTAAAGATGGGAATCGATAAAAACCTTATACCAGATCAAAAAGACAGGTTCATATAGATATAAAAAAGATATGGCCTGTAAATAAAATACTGGAAAATGAATATAGTTTAATTTGTTATTAGAGATTGAATAATTGAGAAACTTCTCCATGGTCAATATTTTAATAGTTTCTAAAATAATTTAACCTCTATTTAGTGTTTTAGCATAAATTCGTAAATAGAATATTTTAGACATAAGTGTGGTTCCTTTTAGGAATTTCAATTATAAATTTTTTTTTTTAAATATAGTTGTTTAAAATTTTTATAGTATCTTTATGGTGTATTATAGTATTTTATACAATCTTATTTGAAATAAAAAGTTATAAATTAACGATTTATATATAATGCAATGTTTATATCACTGCTTCATTAAGTCAGCTGATTTTATTCCATGTGTAACATCAATATAAACAAAGCTCAGCAGTACAATCGAAATTATATGCAATATATTAATATTTTTCATTTTATCAAAAAATATATTTAACTAAATAAAAGTATTGAGCTCTTTAATTAAAAATAAGTCATGTCACATTTCAGATGAATTTTATCCCAAGTTTTTCTGAAAATCTCTTTGATCACAACAAAGTTAAAATTTTTATAAACAATATGACAATATATAATGATACCAAAGTATTCTCTAATCCAAAATTTGATAAATTAAGTATACGGGATTTTAAACTTATTTGTGATCACATTCAATCATTATTACCTTACTATTTTTATGAACATCCTGAATCCAATTTAAAAGATAATGCGATAAAACATATACATGATAAAATAATTTTTCACTTTATCAATCATCCTTTGGAAAATCTAAAATTAGACAAAAATAGGAAGATTTTTATTCATAATCCTTGGGCCTCCTTTCAATGTCATCGTAATGTTATGGGGTTAATTTGTGTAATTAATTTATTAATAATTGAAGACAAAAATACAGATAAAATACTAAAATCTAATATAAAAAATATTATGAAAATTGTGCAATTAGAACACTCTCTTGTGAAAAAGCAAATAATGTCACAAATAGGCAATAAGAGTGTTGTTTTTGAAAGCTTATGTCTTATAATACCAAAATACACTTCTTTAAAAGATTTTCCGAATAAAGATAAAGTTTTAAAGCATAAATTGGACGGTTCCTTTTCCACTCCAAAAGCACATGAAAATGTCATTAATTTGAGAAAATCTTACACAAAAGACAGAATTAAAAAGAGAGAAAGTTTAGATCAAAGTATTTATACTGGTCAAATTTTATCTAACCAATTTAAACAATGCAAAATCAATCCAAAGCATAATGATGAAACAAATCTGCCCCCTAATCTTGGTTATATTTATAGGAATCCATCCTTACCTTCTAGTAGCATATCAAGTAATTGTAGATTAGTTAATAACCATTATAATGATAGATCTCAATCTTGTTCACCCCCAATTAAAAATCATTCTATTATGAAAAATATCAATTCAAAAAAGCGATCAATCATATTGGCCTCCTCATATTCCCCCAAAGCTCACAGAAAATTGGATGATAGCCAAAATGGCAAGATTACAACCAAAAGAGTCCCCCAAATTCGACAAAATATACAAAAATCTCCTCCAGTGCTCAAAGAAAAATATGAACCAAATGAAGAGGTCTTTATTTATGATTATAACATGGACTCACTGAATAATGATAAAAGTGGTGGCATGACAAAATTGGAATCAAATTTAAAACATTTTGCCATTGAAATACATTCTCAATTGCAAAACAAACTGGCAACTTTATTGAAGATTGAAAACGATTTAGATAAAGAAATCCCCATCAGAAAGCCCCTAGTCATGATTAGCACCCCCAATGAGAATGTGGATTCAGACACTGAATCCTCTAATTTAAATAGTGCTAATGAAATCGTGAATTTCTTAAAAAGGGGTATAGGATATGGGATGGATAGCAAAGATGAAAAAATTAGAAAGTAGTTTTTAATTTTTTTTAGTTTGAAAAAATATAAAGAATGAAAGAAAAAAGAAAGATAATTATGCATAAAATAGAGATATAAATATAAGAAACAAAGTTAATAAAAAGGGACTAATGTAATTTTCTAGACAATTTATTGTTGTCTAAAAAAATCTAGCCTTAAGCGGCCTAATGAATATTATATAAATTTTAATCTATATGTTTGTGCCATATCTTTAATATAGAAAATAAAGGGTCTATTTCCTTGATAACTCTTATTTAAAAATAATGTTCAGGTAGGAATTATTGCATATTCTATGATCATGGGATTTATTTGAATTCATACTGAATTATTTTTTTCAAATGAATAAAGAAATAATAGAGTTGTTAATGACAAGTATCTGGATACATTTTTATAAAATATAACTAGATACATTTTTAGAGGATCTATCTCTTTTTAGACAGTTTGGTATTTTATAATATTTGAATTCAATTCATTAAATAATTATGTCCAAGTTTATTTCATTACATAAATAAAGTGGACAAAATTTTATTTTACACAATGGATGACCTATTGTAAATTATATCTAATAATTATAGGTCTACCAATATCAATTTTTGGAGGCTGATCCGATCTATTACCAATTTTATTGATGTCGGCCGATTGCAGGTCTGATTCGATATCATATCGGATTTTGTATTCTGGAAACATGCTAAATCGTTTTAATTTTTAATGCATACATCCATACCTAAAACGAATTATTCGATTCTATTAGTATTTTACGAATACGAATAGTAAAATTATTTGAATAGACGATCAGATCGAAATATTTGAAATTATTAATTATTCCTTATTTAAAATTATTTATAACAATTTAGCCAACGGACCATTTTATTATTTTTTTAACTTTATTTCCACATCTATAAATCGCTTTTAAAATTAATTAATTTTTCTAGATTTTTGAGAAAATATTTTTCAAAAATCTCTGTATATTCTCAGCAATATAAGATTTGCAATCTAATTTTTAAATAGTTAAAAGATTTTTTTTTAAAGAGGAAAAATTTTTGATCAAATTTTAATGGTTCTACCTAGGCTGGTATAAAACTTTTTTTTAAAATTTTTATATATTTATGGGAGGAGCGAATTTTAAACAGCCTCGCGGAAAATATCCCTTAACATTAAGGCGTTTTAATTTATATCAGTTTCTTTCAAATTTGAGCTGCTATATTTTTTTTAAAAAATATCCCGAGGTTAAAGCGATAGTTTTCGGCTAAAAGCTCTTTAGCCTGCTAAAAATAGGTTTAAACGCTAAAGATATACTAATTACCCCACTAGAAATGCAATTGATGACGAGAAACGGGAGGAATAATTAACCCAGTAACCGCGGGTTCAAATATTGAATTTTCCTGGCCAAATTATTAAACCTATTTTTTAAAATTTATCTTTATTTCAAGTTTGATTGGACGTAAATGTAAGTGGAAAAAATATTTTTAAAAAAAACAATTACGGATATTAGTTGATGAACTATTAAAGTTTTGTAACTAATTGTAAACGTATATTCTCTGAAAACAAAATCTGATAATTATATCAGATTTGTGTTATTCTTAAAGCATCACACTGCTCATCAAGTTCCCTGGTAGAATTACAGATACGGGAATATCAATGATGAGAATTTTGAGAATGTTCTATTCCTGAAATCTAAAAATGATCATTTATAAATATTTATTTATATATTTTGTAATATGTATTATTAAAATCTAACAATTTAGGCATTATGCACACCTTATCTAAGTATAAAAATTGTATCGGCAAATGTATCCGTATCTAAAAACATTTTAGACGATATATCTGTATCTAGATAAATTTTTAGACGATATATCTGTATCTAGATCATCCATTTGAAAATTATCTTTTAACAATTGTAAGAAGAAGAAACACTCCCTATAGAAATTAAGTATAATCACTTGATTATACTAGTTTTCCCTCTATTTTTAAGATCTTACCAAAATATGTTTTAAAAAAAATGATTAGGGATGAATAAATTATTGAAAAGATTTATAAAAATCAATCAATAAAAGAAAAAATAATATTTACTATCATGAGAATAGGAAATATTATGAATGAAAATTATTTCAAAAATATACAACTTTATCGGATTTATTTTTATCCATTATGGAAATACAATTTTAAAAGAAAAAATAAATAATATTCAAGGTTATATACTTATATATATAAAATATACTTTTAATTTATTGAAACTTAATTTAGGCAACCAACTCCCATTTTTAAAACTTTGCCCACATTTTAAATTGATATTTTCGCAAGTCTCAAGATTTCTTTAATCTATTTTTAAAAATAGAGGCGTGTGACGGCACTAGTGTTGTTAAACGGCTCGTTTTGAGCCGATTCCTAAGCCTGGAGATTTCGAAATATATGTCTAGATCTTTGTTCTTTCTATGAGCAAAATCTTCAGGCTTGCCCAATATTATTCTGGGTGACCGTTTAACAAAACTTCCTATTCACTATTATTTTAGTTAATTTTAGCAAAGATTATGTTCTCGAAGGTTTCCAATTTAATTTTGACAAGTTTTATTATGTATGGTTGAATTATAATGCTAGGAAAATTTATTAAAATTAATAATTGATTAATTTTTTTTATATTTTGGACGTGAAAATATATAAACGTTAAATCTTACCCTGCATTCAAAAGTTAGCGCAATACACAAGAATACGTCATATTTTATGCACGAATTCGCGGCAAAGAATACAAAAATACAGCTTATTTTGTATAATTCACTACGAATTCGTGCTAATAAATTTTCTAAGAGGTAAAATTTTCTGACCCATAATTAAAACACGCTAAACAGATATAGTTTTCTAGTGGACGGATGTGAATCCATGGTGACCATTTTAAACGGTACATTAACGTGAGGAGAGATTTGCCGTTAGAGACGAAAACATGTTTGACTATACAATTTTATTTTTTAAAAAAATTATAAAGATTCCAGAAAAAGAAATTTACGGCTAGACTGAAAAAACAGATAGGCGATTATTGCATGCTCTTGGGTAGGATAGACGACGCGCTCATTCATTACGAGTCTGCCATAGAGGCCAATAAATTGATCGACGACCCATTGTGGACAGCCGGTATTAAGAAGAATGCGTAATATTTTATAATGGAGAGAAAAAAAAGATTAACTCATTCCATAACTGAATTTGGAGAGAAAATTTGAGTGATAAGAAGGAATAAATATGGTTAATTTATGGTTACATCTAAGTTTCAGTGGGATTTTTCTGAATGGGTAATTTATAAAATGACTGCCAATGAATTTACAAAATATATTCCTTTATTTTCTTTTAAAAATTAACTCTTATTCATATCTAACCTTTCATTCCTACTTTTTTCCCCTAAACTACCGCATTCAAGAGTTTGGCTCCGTAAATTAGATGTTACCCAATTTAAACCCCCGATTTTTTTAAAAAAATAGGCTCTTTAGAAGGTTGGTGTTCTGCCTGCATATGCAAGATGTCCAATTTATATAGCAGCTCGTCCCCATCCTCTCAAAGTTGCAACAAGTCACTCTCGGCGGAAAACTTAAATGCCTATCCCAAGAATCTCTTTATAATAAACGATTTAACTAAGCCTAACCTATTGTTGGATAAGAATACTATGGATAAAGGCTCGACCTCGTCACCCAACAAAAGCATTCATTCGTCATTTAAATCGAGTTGGTTTTTTTTCCTGCGAATTTTCGAATATATCCGATAATTAGATATCGACCGATACCACTATTTTTAGCCGGTATCTATCATTTTCTGTCGGCCATTTGTATCGGTTAAAATTAATTTATCGACAGATATTGATCGATAAGTATCAATTAAAATCGAAATTGTAATTCCACGAAAGTCGCTTAAAATTTTTTTATAAACTTTTTTTTTGCTGTACTAGAATATCTAAAATCTCCTTTCTTCAATCAATCTCATTTGCTAAGCATCGGTTCTTCTCCGTTCCTGGCAAAATCTAAAAGCCGTATCAAACTATTGCCGTTCTCACAACTCGATTACACGAAACTTCCTCATCAAGTTTCGGAGAGATTCAGACACGCCATCGATTTATACGATGAAGTTTTTTTTTATAATTTATAAAAATGATTTTTTTTTTGACTAGTCTTATGTTTAAAGCAGAAATCTCTATATCCTTCCTCCCGGTTCGGGTTATAAATGTTATACTTTAAAAATCCGGGTCGCGCCATATGATTATCGAAATTTCTAGACGGATATTTTAATTTAGAGTTAAGATGAAAAACAATTTTATATGTCGTAATCGAGTTGCTAAACTTTACTTTTAAATGAAGCGCGCACCTCTATCGCTATTTGTCAAAAATGTAGTGCGCTAGCGCTATCACTACCCATAAAAAAAGGTTGCGCTATTAGCGATCACAAGGAATAAGAATTCCTTCATTAATAAAAGTTTTTTTAAAGGTGATCTATTAATTCTTCGTGATATTATACCTAACATTTTTAATATTATAGATCCCGGAAGCTGCATCAATTCGCTTTGAAACTATTTTAAAGACAATCCACTATCACGCACAAATCAACGTATTTTCAACTTTTTTTTCTGCCATTTTTATTTTATCTAGAAAAGTTAAAATCAAATCTCATTTTTATTTATTTATTAAATTTCATTTGTTTTTAAAAAATATGTAAATTTTTTTAAATCAAATAATTTTGCATATTAATTAGGGCTGTGCCAATCCATAAACTTTACCGATCCGATCCGGTATTTCATTACCACAAACCGATCAGATAACCGATAACGTTCCGATATTTAATTTGATTTTATTTACAATCAATATTCCAGTAAAAGCTATAAAATTAATATTTTGTATTTTCTATTCAAAAAAAAAACTTTCATTAGTTATTAAAGTATATTTTGTTTTATTTTTCATTTTCGAAAGTTAATCATCTCATTTAGAATATGTGCCATGCTTATGGCTTAATGTAGTATTGCTTAAATATCTCGATTTAGCCAACCAATATTTAAAAACGACTCTCAAGATTATAGCTAAAATATTATTACCTAGCCTCGAAATTCCATTTTTTTTAAACATTACATATTAATTGAATTTCGGTTCATTTTATGAGTTTATTATTATGAAATGATAATCAAAATATAACCTAAAACATTAAAATATCGGTCATGATCCGATATTTAAAATTGACACAGCCCAATTGTAATGGCTTTTTGTTAAATTTCGATTTCGCAATTAACATAATTTTGATTTTGTTATTTGAATTTGGGATAGGTTCTTAAAATAAAACTGGCTTATAATTGGTAATCTAAACTATCTTTTTTGTACGATTATAGCAAAATCTCACGGCGGCGTTATACATACAAGAAGCTATATACCTCAGATTGAATATAAAGGATGAGGATACTGTAATAAAATTAATTATACCATTTATTTTTCCATTTTTTAAAATAAAAAATCAAATGTTTATTTATTTTTTTTATCATATGAAGTTGTTTATAATTATTTATTTTTAAAAAGTGATTATATTGTAGCATTTTAAAGAGGATGCATGCATGATCACCATTAATTTGGGAATTTTTTTTACCTAAAATCTTAAGAAAATGATAAGCGTAGTGGGCCTTGGAACCCATTGGTAAAAATAACTATTGGAGAAACGGAAAAGTCTTGGTACTTTTATAATTATTGTTATTTCAGATGTAATAAGTATATAATTAATAATTTCTCTCTTAAATGAAATAGGTGAGCAAATATCTGGCCATCTCGGACTTGTACGGCATCATAGGAATGAAGAGAAAAGAAGCATTTTATAAAAGGGTCGCGAGCTTGCAAACCGTCTCCGCAATTGAGTCCAATCCGCTCTGGATCGAAGTGATAAATTTTATTAATTTATTTCCAGTGATCTTCGGATTCATTTTTTTGTTTTTGGAACTCGAATGATTGGCTAAGCCTATGAAGGAGTTATTTGTCACGCGATTCGTATTTTGCGATTTTCGAATACACTTATTTTAATTACTATTAATACAAACCTTTTATAGTCAAAACAATAGGTTCTTTATTATAAAATTGTTTCATATATATAGTCTTTTATAATTATGTCATTTAACTACTACTAATATGCAATTACATTGACCTCCATAAGATAATATAAAATGTAAGAAATATATAATTCAAATAGCGTAACCTTTTAAAATATATATAAACATTCAAATATAACAAAACCTAATTTCAAACGTACTAAAAAAGTGACAACTAAATTTAAATTTAAAGAGATAATACTTAGATTTTCAAAAACGGAGATACTCATTTCTGGATAGTAAAGCTCAAGGGTTCGGTCCTATCGGGACCAGACCGTATTTTTTCAAGGATCGCAGTTCAGACCGGGTTTTTAATTATATATCAGACCTGTCTTTTATTTGAGGACCATGGTTCGGACCGTGTGTATCGGTCCGGCAGGATTGAAGACCGGACCTTGACTATTTCTGGGTTAAAATCAGGGATGCAGCGAAATTATGGTTTTTTACGTTCTTATTCCTTACCCTTTCCTGCCAAAAATGTCTCCTCCAGGTTTTGAAAGAACGCGTTCTTGGGAAAATATATACTTTATGAATTGTTTACCCGTTTTTATATATTAATCACTTTAATTACGTCTAATACATTATATTTTGTTTTTATAAAAGATTAAAATTTTTGCCGTTGAATAAATTAATATGAATTTTTTTTTTAACTTTTATAATTTTTAATAACCGTAATCATATTTTTGGAATGTTGCCCATTTCCATAATGATTTTTATTAGAAATACGGGGCTTATATTCACAATATCGGCAGATACATTTAATTTTAACAGATATCAGTGGCCGATATTTTATGAATATCGGTGTAGGATAGATAGGTTTGGAATTGACTTTTTCTAAAATAATGATTTCGATGCATAATCTCTGATTTTTTATTTTGCACAATTTAGCTAAATAATTTTTTTATTATTTATTATGGAAATTTTTAGTCCAGCAGACGACAATAATAAATATTATTTCTAAACGTGAGTTGTCTATCCTTCTAATATTTATTTTTAATATTTTCAAAGAAATACGATTTTATCTTAATATTATTCTTTTTTAAAAAAAAAAATTTTTTCTACCTTTGACTACAGATTAACAGTTGCTATATTTAAGTCAAGTGAAGTTTAGCTAGCATCTAATCATCTATTTCGTAAATCTTTTTTAAATATATATCCCGAAGCCATATGGCCACATCTTTCTACCCTTTTTTATACCCTAATTTTACCAAAGGAACTTGGTTTCAGAGGATAAAAACCTGGCTCGTGCTAGATCTCCAGGGTATCTAATCTTCTAAACAAAGCCTGCCTTTCAAAAATTGTTCATTTTTTAATATAACGATAATTCAGCCATATACATGAAATATACGCTAACTTTATGCTTAAATTTTTACTAAGCTTCACTTGAATAATTATCGCAAATTCTATCTCTAGTCATGGACAAATCTTATCCTTTTATTTGAATAATGTGTTGTTTACAGATTTTTGATAATCTATTTTTAAATTTTAAGTGCAATTTACTACTGACACAAGTCCTATCCGGATATTCCATCCCTCTGGATCTTAAGGAACTAAGAAGTAATCTATATTATTTTACTTAATTTTTAAAATATTATATTGAATTGAAGTATCAAAAATAGTCCAAGGTGCGGCCATAATAAATGGCGTGTTAGCCCTTTTAACTTCGGGAGGGGGGGGGGTGGGGTTCACTTTATGAACATTTTCAAAATTTGCAAAAATAAATCCCTAAAATGAGTAAAAAAAATCCTAAATAGAGCAAAAAAAAACCAAAATTAGCATAAAAAAAATTTTCAAAATTTTTCAATGCGCTTCATGATTATTTTAATTTTTATATTTATCGATTATTATTTTATAAGAAAACAGTAAGAATTTTAGATTCGATAAAAAAAAAATGAAAGAAGATTTTTATAATCTTAAATCGCAAATTTAATATTCAAAAGGGTAAAATGTATTGCTACGTGAAAGCAAACTGGTATTTAAAAAAATATATAATTTAAATTATTTTCATATATATTTTTTTCTGAACATTTCTAGAACTCTTCGTTTCCGTTCCATAACCCTTTAAGTTCCTTTCCAGTGTCATTTTTAAAAAACTTTTACATCATTTCTTAAAATTCTAATTACTTGAAAGTTTTAAAATCACACTTAACACACATTAAATATTAAAAAAAATGATATTTAATTCTTTTTCCTTTACTTTTATTACGATAATCTATCAAATAACATTTAAAGGTTACTTGGTTATAATATTTGAAATCAGACAGATGGTTTTAGGCCCGGACCGGATATTAATATTTTAACACGTCTAGAATATTTTTAAAATAATTATTATATTACTAGCCGAGTTTTTGAGCCGGGTTTGCAAGGGCCTGATTTGAATAATTAATCAACAGTATTTAAAAACTTTTCAGTCATTTTTTTGAAAACTCGTTGCTCTGTATCATTATTATTATGTTCTGTTAAGGAAAATGTAATTATGTTTATAAAAGATAAATTATGTTTATGATTTGTAAAAAAAAAGGTGAAAAGATGCACAGTGGATGGCCTTCCATCCAACACAGAATTATGAACGAATTGATTGTATGTGCCCGAAGGTGCGATAATTTTCCCTTAGCAGCTAGGTAAGCCAAAAAATTTTAAACTACCAATTTAAAATTTCCCATTTTCTATCAAAATATAGATATTACATTATTTTGCATTTGGATAGAAGAGGTGGTGGGCGTTGGTAGTAGTAGAAATAGCGGAAGAGAGTAGATTTCTCAGGCTATATTTATGGATATTTATAAGATTCCTTTTTAAAAAAAAATATATTGAGATTAGACCTATAATTATTAGATTAAAGACATTTGTTCCTTAATTTTTCTCAAATATCGTGCATATCATTGACTATGGAGTCAAATGCTTTGGGTAAATAATCGATACATAAAAGAAAGAAAAATTTTAAAGTCCATTTTTTCTATATCCTTAGTTTTCGTGGAGTAATATGGATTTGTTTTTACATAAACTCGTAACTTTCCTCATTATTTATTCTAGATGGACTGGGATTTATATTGGATGGATAATCCATTTAAAACAAATACTTATCCCATAATAACTATTACTTCATATTAATAAATAAACAAAACTATGAAGGCACGCCATGTTCAATCTCCAGTTCCTCTACCCCTATATGACGAAAAAAGATATCAGGGAAGATCTCGAACTCTTGAAAGCGCTCGTTTACAAGTCCAAGTATCTCGGGACCAATTCGATTGTTCTAGAAAACGGCCTCATGCTCGCGCCAGTTCCCATGGTCGATTTTCCTGTGATTAGGTAATGGCATAATTTTTTAAACAAAAAATGAATATATATATCATCGGCTTAGTATTATAGTGTTCTATACACATTTTTTTAAAAAATATTACTTGTATTATAAATAAGAGATTACACTATAGTAATTCAAATATAGGATTATTCTAAATTATGTTTTAATGTTTATATGAAAGATAATAGCAAAAACTTGCAGAGTTATTATTTGCATATGCCCGGCATAGATATTTTTAAGATGTGTTATATTTATTTTTTATAGATAATAATGGCGATTCTGGCCTGCATGTCCCCTGGAAATAGTAATAAAGAATTAATTTACCTAAGAGAATGTATTTTGCAAAAATGTGATATAGAACACTAGAAGATTAAAAAAAAATAATTTCGGCTCGGGCTAGGTCGGGCCTAATATTTTATAAAAATTTCGGGCCGGGTCGGGCTTAAATATCCAAATAAGATATCATCACATTTTATCAAATAAATTGATATATTTTAAAATTGTTGCAAGAAACAAGACGCGAATATTTTTTATTTGTAGAATATTTTTTTTACAATTAAAAAATAATTAAAATTTTCTATATTTAAATAAATTCAGGATGTGCCGGGCGGGCAAATAATTTTCATTTCGGGCCGGGTTCTTTATGAAAAATAAAAAAAAATTTGTTCAGGATCGGGCCAGGTCAGACAAATTTGTTTAAAAAAATTTGGGCCGGGCCTTGAACCGTTGCAGATCACTAGTGCAAACCCTCGAAATATTACGAAAATAACACGCAATTTTAAAATATATATTTTTTTTTAAATTGTAACGATACCGATTAAATTTACACTTCTTATTAAACGTTAAAACTATTTGAAATGTTATATTTTGTAATTTAGTTGAGGTTTTTATATGAAATAGTATATCAATGATATTTTTAAAGATCTACATTGTAGTATAACTTATTTTTCTTTTTATTCTAAAACACTTCTAATGCCTCAATTCTTTTGTGGCGATCATTTTCTTGCCTTTTCCTCTGAGTTTACTCATACCTTAAGTTTCTTCCTTTTACTTTATGTATTCTTCTCTGTCATTGGTCATGTTCCACTAGTTTTCATTTTTCGCCCCTCTCAACATGCCCAAATTACGAGACACCTCTATAGCCCCAATTTTTTCTGGCTATTGTTTTCTTATGTTTCTTTCTGAGATTACCTTCCCCCTCCATTTTCTTTTACATCACTCATGTATTCTTCTCTGTCATTGCGTGCTCCTCACAAGTTTTCATCATTTATTGGTCTTTTTCGATAGTCCCAATTTTTTTATGGCGATTACTTTCTTGCGCTTCCCTCTAAGTTTACCTCATACCTCCATTTTCTCCTTTTTGGCTTCATGTATTCTTCTCTGTTATTGGTCACCTTCCTCGCTACTATTGGTGATTTTTTTTCTCTTGTTAATAATGAACTAATTTCGATTCTTAAAAAAAAATTATAATCCATTTTAATAAAAAAAACACGTAAAGTCAACTAAGCTTCCCGTCCTACCCGCCTTCCCTGAAACCACATTTGGTCAAGAAACACTTCTTAAAAAATAAGAGTTATAATAGCAAACCAATTGCAATAAAGATCAATGATCAGCACCGCAAGCTAAAACCGGCCGAATATGAGGATGATATCAATTACAACCCGAATACGAATATCGAAAGGAACGGATTTTTTACTTCTCCTATGTTCTCCACGACGTCCTCATCATCTTCCGACTCCCTGACTTCAGTAGAAGATCATGGATTTTATGACGACATAGTGTAATAAACGAGAAATATAAGCCTTTTTTTTTAGAAACTTTTTCAAAAATATGATTTAATTGTTTAAGTTGATTGACAAGTGTACAAGCCGAGGGAAAACATGGCGCTATTATTTTTCAAATATTTCACATTTTGGGACGTATTGAATGTGTCATAAGTCCTTAAAAATAGTAATTTTGTGCTGGTTTAACTTTTTTGAAAAATATTTAACAATATAATAATTGATTTTTTCAAAAAAAAATAACAACAGTGAGTCAATCCCTAAATCGCTCAAAAAGTTCCGGAAAAAAAACGTGAACCCTTTTATTTACTCTCCTTTTTTCGAGAATTTAAAGGCTCGTCGTGAATCAGCCGATGAACATCTGCGACATTTGAGGTTTACATATAAATTATCTTCATATAATTGATGAGCTTATTTTAAAAAAATAACGTGGAAATAATTTAAGTAATATTAGCTAACATAATTCTCTGCAGTTTTATTTTAGTAAACGCAACCAATCATGGTTATTTTTTATTTAAATATCACGTGATATATTATTAATTTAGATATCACTGGTCCATAACGCCTTACCATCAACCTGAACGCAGGCCAACCATCCCATGAATTTACCCAATATTTGATTCCTCCTTTACTTATAAACTTTAAATTTTTATAATGAACCACCTCTACAAAGTGTCCATAAATAGATGATTATCCTACATAAAGATTTCCGTGTATTGATCAGGGTTGAACCCGATCCACAATTTTTTTTACCGATCAGATTCAATATTTTTCGATATTATTACAAAACCGATCCAATATCGATCCGATGATTAGATTTTTATTTATCACCTATACATAAACCAATATCATAAAAAAATCAATGTTCTCTATTGAAATACAACCAACTAATTTTCATGAATAAGTTGATTTTGTTTTTTTTATTCTCCAAATGTCAATCATTTCATTTTAAATATGGGCAAAGTTTATGACTGAGCTAAATATTACAGCCACACTATCTTTAAAAAATTTTTTTTTAAACCTAGTTCTTTTTACTAATTAATTATTATTGTGATTATATCGTCGCCTGAGAATTAGTTTGTTCCATCTTCACTTTTTGGAATTTTAAAGAAATGTAATTTAAAAAAATTAAGTAGGGTTGTCAACCTTATAGACTATAATAAATATAGTTTATATATTTCGTTTTTTTATGTAAATAAAATATAATTGTAAAAAATTTATTTATGTAAAATAAAATCATTTTTGACAATAAGTGGATGTGGATTCAATATCCACGTCGGCTCATACGGTTCATTTGAGCTGCTTCAAATCGGAGTCAATTTTTCGACTAGAAACCGACTTGAGTCGCCGAACACTGATATGGAATAACCTACTTATCAGGGGAGATATGTCATATTGGTATATGAATCCATGGCGATCAGAATCTCTCTATCTTAAATCATTTACGGAGGGTCATTTTTTAATTTTAAAAATCAGATTTGACTGGAAATGTATACCCACGTTTTTAGAATACCTCCACCGCGAATTTCAGACAATTTAGCCTAGAATTTTTGAAATACTTAATACATTTAAATTTATGTCGTCAATTTTTTTAAATATCAGTTTTCATTTAATTAAAAAAAATACACGAAAGTTATTTGGATAAAATGGACCTGAAATTTGTAGGGCAGATATTTTTACCTATGCTGGATTATATTTCCGATTAAATTGGATTTTAATAACCAAAAAAAATAATAAAAATATTGTATTTTTTTTTAAAATTATTGGCCCGATTCGGTATTTTTATAAAAACGCGAAATAGTTAATTTGTATGTTATTTTCATACTTTAAGGCAACGGGTTTTATCTGCATCTTCAAAATTTCACGATGGAACCTTTGATAGCGATGTAAATGACGGAGAAATAGGTTTGTTTTTAAAAATTGTTTTATTAACTTTTTATGATTATAATGTTATAAGTATAACCATTAGACTGACAATCTTAAATTAAGGGCATATACACACATTTTTAAATGTTTGAATCTAAATGAGGTAATAATATTTGGTAAATGTTATATTTACAAAAATGAGTCGTAGCGAATGATTGATTGACATGAAATATTATAACACTAGGCTAACGTGTTGTTAAAGTTATGCTCGAAAAATATCTAGTCTATTTACATTACAAGTTACATTATAAATAATTTATATAAACCATCTTCTTTTTTATCAGAGACGAAACAAAGGTATTTTTGCTTTCCTATTTTGTTCCCGTCCCAACCAAAAAATATGCCCCGCTCCCTTTCAGAACGTTCCGGAACGCCTTCCTATATTAAAATAACATTTTAAAAAAATTCATGTAAACAAATGTAAAACAAGACAAATATAAAAACTATATAAAAAACATATAAGAAAGAGGGGTGCACATAGAGGCTCTCATCGAAATCCGAGGAAGCTAAGATAGTTGCATCGGAACACGGCGATTTGAGTTGATTGTAACATTTAAAAGAGGATCCACGATCACCACTAATTTAAGAAATTTTTTTACCTAAAATCTTAAAAAAATTATAGCTTAGGGTCCCATTGGTCGAACTATTGGGTTGGTTAAATTGAAAATCTGAAAAGTCGTAGTACCTTTAAATTTATGACCCTTCGGCTGTAATAATCGGGATCGATGTTTGGGTTAATGGAAAATTGGAAATCTCAAATAAGGTGTTTTCCTCTAAACCAACTAATGTTTATGAACCCACCTGGTTTTTTTCCGTCAGAATAGGTATAAGTAAACGGGTTCCAGGAGGTTTGGGCAGTTGGCCACTCTAATTTGTTCGATATAAGCATGGATATTATTATTTCATCTTCATCTGATTAATTAAAAATTACCATAGCCCAAATATGATAAATATTTTACAGTAACATCTTATATTGAAAGAACTAATTCAATACTTAGCAAATGTAAAATGAACCCAAAAAGTAATATATCAGTTTCAAAATCTTCAAGCTCCAATTTAAAATAACATTTGATTTTAATATTAATTATTGTATATAATATAACAAAGTAAAATCATTAAATTTGTAGAAAAAATTTATTTGGGCTATTTGACCCCAACAATAACGATAGTTATTTTAAAATTAAAAAAAAATTAGTATAAAATATTATCAATCATTGATAATAGGTTTAATAAAAGGTATTAAACCTATCACTATCAAATTAAGATTTGAACATATATATGAAGATCAATATATTCTTTCTGAATTTATCATCCAGTATTCAAGCTTCAATGGCCATGGATAAAACTTACACAGAACGAATCTATAAAAATAAACTTACAACGTTATTGAATAATGCATTGAAAACCGTAGAAATGATAATGCAAGACTGTTAATTTCATAATATTCTTTTTTTTGACGAGGAAGTAGAGGATGGATTGGAGGAGAATAACTTATTTTAATTTTTTGAAGCACAGGCAAAACAATAAATGTTTTTAATAAATTCTCCACAAGAGTTGTTTATTAAGTATAATATTGTAATTCTCTCACCCCCCCCCCTGTAGAGCGCGTTTTTAGTATAGCTAATGCCGTATTAACTGCCAAGCGTTTTTGTCTATCAAATGAAAATTTTGATTTAAAAATTAATAAGAAAATTTTTTTATAAATAAAAATATCATTTTATTCCCTATATTATGTTGTATTTATAATTATATTCTTTTTTAACATGGCTAATATATTGTGCTAAAAAATATAAGACATTTATTTATATTATATTAAATTTAAAAAAAAAATTATCATAAAATTTTGAGCGAATTTTTGAAAGTGAACATGAACGTGAACGCGCGGTTTTTGTCAATAAACGTTGAACGCGTTCGATTTTTTTTAGAAATCTAATTATTACGGATTGTCCGTTGAATTTTATAATATTTCACGTCAATATCATTGGTCACCACACAACAGTTGAATTATAATAAATTGTAACTTGGCTGATATTTTTCATATAATGTAGGTGGAATTCGCTAATTTTGGTCACTTGATAAATCAATCATCTTCACAATATATATAAGTATCTTTTTTGACCCAAGTAACTTCCTATTCAAAAATGAAACATTTCGATATTTTTTGTGGCCTTAATTCTGAACCAATTCCCAAACTAGACCAATTTTTTAACATTACACAATTTAAGCGTTTATATATATATATTAACAATCGCCAACAGATGCAGTTTGGGTGAAAGACGAGCCTGCACAGTTGATTTTTCACATCTCTAATCCACTGCCTACCGATTTACCTATTAATTATATAGTAAAGAAAAAGAAGCTTACACGCATACATTTTAATAAATAAACAAAAAATGGTTTAAAGATGAAATTTGTTTCAAAATACTAGAAGTCGGGATGTAAAATTTTGAGTCAGGATTAAAGTTCAAATTCATTTGAATTTAGTTTTTTACATCGAATTTTAATTTTTAAAATTCGAGACCGGTTCGGTATCCGTTGGAATAACCGGCACATCTCTACTTCAATCCCAACTCATTCATTTAGGAAATGGTTAATTTCGAAATTAAAATATATTTGATTTTAACAAAACCTTACTTTATTTTTGATATATAAGGGTATCATAAGTGATAAAAATACCTTCAGAGAGATACGACCTAAAATAGTATCATCTTGCAAAAATAAACTACAAAAACCAAACGACACTAGAGGATCGGAATTATTTGATACGCCAGAAGTTCTTAAAGCAGAAGATGTATCAAGCTACGAAAAAGAAATTCCTCCTCCGCTTCTTATTTTACCACCATCCGGCCAAAATATCTATCGCCTTAAAAGGCGAAGGTTTGTGATTTGAAATTTTTTACATTTAATGGTCAATTCCAGGTGTGACCTATGATATTTTTATATAGAGAATTTTTCAAATATCCGAATTTAACCTATCGCGAAATATTATTTCTTGTATTATTCATTAAGCCACTTTGTATGATTTAAATTTTTTATGGAGACCATTTTGATATCTTAACTCTTATTCATATTCACGACATCTCTCTGATATATATATTTATTTATTAGTTATTACCATGAAGGAAAAGTAATGATAGATTTCAAAAAAATATGTTTTGTTTAGATAAAAAATAACTGAATTCGCGCTTTACATTTTAACCCTTCTATTTAATGAAAACCAAATATTGATATATGAATCGGAATGAAGTATAATCTAGATTTTTACTATACTTTCTTCTTTTATATAAAGATTTATATAAACTTTTTTTTACAATTCCAACTGTGATGTTTGATCTATTTTATAGGTATATGATAGGCCATAGTCAGGAAGGTCAAATGAGGGTTAGGCCACCCTATAATATTTGGCCCTTAAAACGAAATCTCATACAAAATTCCTTTGTGTTCTATCTATCTTATAGATATATGTAAGGCCATAGTCGGGAAAGACAAATAGGTGTCCACCCTAAAATATTTGGCCTCTCTACTATCTTCTTTCTTATAGGTATATATATAATCCTCGGGTAAGGCTAATGGGAATTAGGCCATCCTAAAATATTTGGACCCAAAGGGGCAACAATTCCTATTTTTTTGCATTTATACGCATATATGGCGTGTTTTTTCAAACAGCACATTATGATTCTAAAAAAAGAGACTAGCCAGAACGCGATATAAATGTTTGAAATGCAAAATGAAGTTGTAGTAGAAATAAAGAATTTTTTTTAAATATATAATATAATACTTACTTAACCAATCAAATTTTTTAAAAAAAAACAAAGACCAACCGTTACTCCGTATGTTATAGACAACACCACACCCAAACAAACTTTTTTTTTATCGTCTGGTCGCGCGCTTCCATCTAACGAGACAAGAAGTAAAGAAATAATAATGCTATATATTTATTATATAATATAATATATAAATAAATGGAAAAATGTTTAAATAATTAATGAGTCAAATTTTTATGAAGATGTCTCACTTCGCTAAATAATTTATTTTTAGATGATAATTTATACATACTTATTAAAAAAAAGAAGTTCGGGTTGTATTTTTATATAGCTTTGTCCATTGGTATTTCTTCTGCTAATATAGGAAATATATTAAATATGATAATTTTCTCCTTTCATTGTTTCTATGCATGAATTAAAGATTTTGATCCTAGTTGGGACGTTTCAAAACCTTCCACGTCAACTAGTGAAATTGGTAATACCTTTGCTATATACGTCGTCCCCCATAATAGCGGCAAATTCGTCATCAATGGTAAAACCAAGGAATTGAATTTCCTTAATATATATTTTTTTTTAAATTGCAATTTCATCCTCCTATCCTATATATATTAAATATAGTGTTAGGCAGTATCGCGGACACCTTATGCTAAATACAATATGAACCATATCATACTCAGCATTATCTTATACCTCCTTTGAGTTACTTTTATTTTGAATAGTATCTTTAATCTCTCTCTACTCGTATTTTTTTTTACCTATTCTTGATTATAAATAGTATTGCTAAAAACTGTTTCATATCCACTAAGGAAAAAAAATTTAATCTTATTATTGATTAATTAGACAGATTTATAATATTCATTTTATGTAATTTAATGACCATTGATTTTATAAGGGTATTACGTAGAATTGTACGATGGCTTGAGAAACAACATCAGGGACAAAGATCTCAAAGCATTATCCGATCCTTCCAGAGACTATTTTTTCGAAAAAAGAAAACACCTAGGAACTCTTAGCGTTCCTACAAGGCTTCATTCGTTTCATTATGTTGTTAAGGTTTTTGCTATATTCTAAATTTATATTTTTAAGCAGCCCCATAGCCAGGAATATTTAGTGGGATGGGTGGGGGTAGGTCGGTTCAACATCCTTTGATGAATTGTATTAATAGTCTATATTCAACTGTCCAGTCCTCTCGGTCTTAGACGGGGATCGGGGTTTTCTTCAAGAATTTTGGTCTAGCGGTCTTTTAATTTTTCCAGTTCAACTGCCCTTTTATTAATATTTAAGTTTGTCTTACTATTCCATTTATATTATTTTTTTATTTTATTTTTCTAAAGGAGTTACTTTAGTTTTTGTGATTCTTTTATTCATTTCCATTTTGCAATATACTATGAAAAAGAAAGCTAATAAAGCATATTACATATGGTCCAATAAAAAAACAGAGAATATGTGTTCAATACGTTACCAAATTTAATGTATCATCAGCAACAATAATTTATATTTTTATATATTAGATGCTTAGGTACACATTGATAATTAGGATGAAAATCTAGTACCTTAAAAAATCTAATCTACTCTTAATTTTAATATCGCACAAAGTTTCTTCAATACGATTCGAATTAGACAAATCTGAACTTAACATATCAACCAAATAATATTATGGTTTATAATAGACAAAATGGAATAGATCTACTTTTTAAGTCCCCTTTTTTTCTAACTCCTCCCTAGTGCAGTTCTGCAAACAAATATAGTAGCATTTATTTAAATTAGTATTATATAATAATTCATATTTGATATTACTAATAGAAAATATTAATAAAATGCTAAAACAAGAATTAAATTCGGTTAAAACTTTAATAAAATGCTAAAACAAGAATTAAATTCGGTTAAAACTTTAATAAAATGCTAAAACAAGAATTAAATTCGGTTAAAACTTTAATATTTTTGAAATAAGACCGATTTTTAATTTAAACCCACGGTCGGTACCTGTATTTTTCTGAGGACCGTGGTTCGATCCTTATCTGCTCGGTCCGGGACAAAAACCACTTCGTTATTTTTCATAGTTATATTGTATTTAACATAGACGTTTGCTTAAATAACGGCAGTTATTCTAATTGGATTATTCTCTCCTCGAGGAATCTATAAAAAATTAAAGCATTGGAACTGGATATCGTAATCTACAAAAATTCTCTAAACTATGTCCCATCGATATTGACAAAAACAAAATTGGAATCTTCTTTTTATTATTGGATTTCATATATTGGTCGTTATTTTTTAAGTTTTGTCATTTTGAAATGACTAGTATTAGGTTGATTTTTAAAAAGGCCCTATTAAGTTTTTGACAACATAATATTATGTCAACTCTCAAGATTTGACAAATAGACATCGAAATCTTTCTGTTACCTATGACCAAAATCTCCAGGATTATAGAATATTATTTTGGCTAAAAATTTAATCTGGAATACAAGACTAAGGTATCGTAATGGAATATAGAACCCATTGGGATTTGGAATCTCCCAATTTTGTAAAATCACTGAGCCATTGTCAGATTTGAAAAATATAGTTTTTGACCGGAAATAAATTCCAGCTAGTGTAGAATACCGTATTTTATAATATGAATGAAAAATTAAATAAAATTAAAAAGTATTTCAAAAGTTTAAGGCAAAAATTGTCTGAAATTTTTGGTGGAGGGTACTCTATACATGTCAAAATGCATCTCGAGTTAATTCAGATTTTTCAAATTTAAAATTATCCTCAATAAATGATTTAAAATTGAAAGATTCCGAATTCAAATGAATTTCATATCCCAATACGACACGACATATAGATTTGAAAACATGCTTATAATTAGGGATTTAAACAGGAATTCGGATGTTGAATAAAATTATACATGGACAGCTTTTTAATTGTATTAATTTATTTCTTTACAATCAGGTAGCCCCGGTTCTACCCTTATTACGCTACTCGACTACCTTCCCCACCGTCAATTATACACCACCCCCGATAACTATATCGTCCCAACCGAACTACGCTGCCAGCTATGTTATTCCAAAAATTTTCGCTAATATTTATACCGGAGAATAGTTTTAATCCTTTTTTTTTTAAAAAAAATTCCTTTAGAATATATACAAAATATAAGTTAGTTTCTTTACTGATCTGAACCGGGTTTATTATTGCCCCAAAGTTAAATAAGGCGCTTATCGAACTAGAACGTTTTTTTTAAAAAAAATGCGGTTTATATAAATTATCGCGAAAGGAACTTGTCAGGTCAAAGATATCTAAAAAAAATTATCATTTCTCAGACTGGGATTATTAATTAATTATCTTTAAAATACAACTTTAATCGTTTACATGTTAATCAAAAATATTTTTTTATATTGTCAGTATATGATTAATTTTCTCTTATATATTTTTTACCCTCACAGTATAGAATGCCCAATTACCATCACAAATTTGGGAGAAGTTTCTGTTGAGGCAATCAAGCTCTTTCTATGCAAATTTAGAGGTAATGCCAAAATTTTTTTTAATAGGACAGAATTAATATTTGTTACTTATTTTTTTTTGATTTTAAAGATAGAAACCTTTACAATCAATTATTAACTTTCAATCCCAAATCCTTGAAATCTTATATTCTACACTGGAAACCAAATGCACTGGCTCTTGATTCTGCCCATTCTCTTATCCCCATTAATCCTAATTCGAGCAAGGTAATCTTCATTTCGATATATGGGGGAAACGATTTTTATAAACCCAACGTACCCCTGGTTGACGGAGTGAATGAACGAAAGGAATCAACCCATAACTCCCCCTATGCACCTTCCCCATCACATATCACGGGTAATTATTGCTTTTTTTGATAAATATTATCAGAGATGCACAGCACATCTTGATCGATATCGATACTAACTGGTATCGGCCGATACTACCAATGCCAAAATCAGGGAACCAAACTGTTTTCTATAACGGTTCTTAGAGAAAGATTAAATAGGTTACGGCGACTGGTTCAGATGCTATTTTAAACAATCCGGTTACGATTTTAGGATTTTTTGGGGGATTTAAAATTTCTGGAAAATATTATCAAATCTGTCTTAAACGTGTGTCTAAATTGTCTCACCCATTTTTATGAGGAAAAATCAATTCTTTTTTTTTAAAAAAATTTAATAACTATTACACCACTAAAATCCTTGTGGAAAATATAATTTTCCAATATTCTTTTGCCAATTTATCGAGCACAATCATCTTAAATATAATCTACCAATATTTTATTATAAATTTTTTCCATTGTCAGGATTATTTTATAACTCGCTCCTTTTGTTGTTTTTTTGTTTTTGTAAAAAAAAGAGAATTAATTTAAGGTTTGTTTTATTTTAAGTGTTAATTCCCCCATTTTTTATATATGATTTTCAAAATAAGTTCTTATTCACTCACTATCCTCATCTTATCAAACTATATATTTGATTTAAAAAAAATTATAGCAAAGTTTTCTAATCTCAAACCATTCAAGTTAAAGTACACTTCTACCTCTCCAGCTCAACAATCGAAAGAAGTACAATTGCAAGCAACTTTACATAAATTATTGTTTTGTATCAAAAGAATTTAAATTAGTTTTTTTTTTGTTTATTTAATTCAATATAAAAATATACATACTATATATCTATAAAAATAAAAGGGGATTTCTACTTGCCACAAAGAATATCAGTCGAAATTTGCCGATCCAATTGTAATCTATTCATAGATTCATTAAGCCCCCCCCCCTCCCCCAAATTAACCGAAATATATTTTTTAGATATAATGGTATAAATTTGGATGTAATTTGAAACCCTAATTCTCCTTAATTTATTCAGAAAGTAGCTAGGACACTCTTTTTTTTTGTTTGTATTTTATAATTTTAACCTATGATGATGCATTTAAGATACATTATTTTTAATCTTAACTATGAATGTATTCAGAAATTTTTTTCATAATGTGTCCTAATATTCTTAGAGACATCATAACCGTCTTTGCTTACAGTATATGTGCATTTTGAACCCGATATTTCTTCTAAAACTCTGGAATCCACCTTAGAAATTTCCATTCCTTGTCTGTAAACATTTCCCCTTTAATTACTTTATTATACGTATCTTCTGAACCATACTACTCTAAGCTTTAATCGTTTTTTATATATTTATTTATGGTTAACCCCCAGCACAGTACAACTCGTTAGATTTTTTTTTCTGCCCGCGATCACTTTTGATTGCGGATCGAAGATTTTTTTTAAAAAAATGAGATTTTAATTTTTCTTAAACTATTATTCGCACCCTCTATTGAAAGACCCCTCAAACAACTATCCACGATTCGAAAATCAAGATAGTATACTCGGGAAATTCTAACGAAAATCACGGCTTTGGACGGGAGTTAGAAATTTGTTTTCACATTGAAATAAAGAACGCCGTGATCATCAAACAATGTGATATCTTGCCTTCTGAGAAGTAATTCATATAAAAAAAATATCAAGTTGCTTATCAAAAATACTAATCTTTGCTTTAAAGGAAGGACAGCTAACTTTCAGATCCAAAATAAATGTTTTCTTTCAAGTTAAATGAAGTGGTTTGGCAGAATTTTGGCATGACTAATTATTTTAAAAATTGATATTTAACTTCCTTTTTTTATATTTATAGAATGGATGAGTGCTACCTAGTTTTAGACTTAACCAATGTGGATTTAGTCAACGAAATTTGCGTGCAATACACTCGCGATAAAAAGGTCGATATCGAGCCTCGCGAAACTACCAAGTTATTTTTATTTTTAAAAATTGTATTTTTTGTTGAAAATGGAACAAATCAAAAAGAAATGAATGAATCAATTATAAAAATTTTGATTAATGCCAAATTACCTTAACTGCCAAGGTAATAATTTATTATATAACTAAAATTTCTGATTTGTTCATGCTTACCCCCCATTTTAAGAATCGCTTTGGCAATAAAAAAAATTAATATCGACATCGTTTGCAAGGCTTCCTTTCCTCCTGGGTATTTAAATATCAACGATGATCTCAAAAACCCTAACGACAATCTGCTAAGCAAACCGCTCTCATCTCTACTCAATTACCTAAATTATTTAATCGATATTCAGGTCGAAATCACTTGGAAAATCATATCCTTCTTTTTTATGCAAATTTATTATAGAACAATTTCTGACACTTTCAGTTTACATAAATATTAACATATTCTATCCTTAACTCGAAACCTTTTTATATGCATTAAATCGTCGTCTGATTTTTATTGCTCTCCAACACGTATCCAAAAGCATCGAAGGTCGTATTCGCTTGTACACTCTCGACTGGACATCTGAACAACTGGATGCTCTTATTCAGCCCCAAATTACTTGGGGTTATCTCTTGAATATTTTAATACTCTTAGAATCAAGGAAGGAGGGAAGGGTGGGAGGAAGAAAGGAAGGAAAGGGAGAGTGAGAAGGATTGAAAAAAGAAGGGTTGTTTTTTCTTTAGATTTAATATTTTTTTAATAAATTTTTTGATGCCTATTTCCAAACTACAATAGAACTAACTTTAGTGGGTAATATAGAGAAAAACGATGAATTTTGTTTGGTCAAGGTATCCCAGGTCGTCTTCGTTTCCGTGTTGGTTCATAATAACTCAGGTGTTCCATTCATATAATTTTTATTTTTTTAATAAAAAAAAATATGCATGTATTGCTTCCTTTTAGAACCCGGTTTTTTCCCGATCCGATACCCATCACTTATTTTAAGATCCGAACCCGAAATAATTTAATTAGCAAAGCTGTTCTATTTATATATAAAACCCAGGTCGGGCCGAAAAACTTTTAAAAAAATCCAGGCGTGCCGTGCAAATGGTACGTACCACTGCCGCTCTCTGATTTATATGATTTAAAATATTTGAATATTCACTCATTTCAATCAAATCTTATAATATCAAGGGAAGGATTACAAAGATTTTCACGTCTCCATTAAATATTACCAAAATCTACAAAACGGGCATCTTGATTACGATATGACTGATAAGGTCATTTTTGTAGGTACCCTTAATCAAAATATCAATAATGTAAGAATAATTTTAAATAAAAATTTCGGAATAACTACATGTTAAATAGCATTTCTTTTGAAAATATTTTATAATCTGTCTAAATATATCCTTTATTTCTTCTAAATATAGTAGTATTTTGATGTTTTTTTTCTTTATGAATTATGTCTCAATAATACAATTTGTATGGTATCCTCATTAGGGTCCGACTTTCTTCTCTTTTCGATATATTATTGAACTAGTTTAAAATGAAATTTCTCTATAAAATTTAGATTACCTCTAAAAGCACCTATAGACACAACGTATCATTTATATTTCAATGCGCTGGTATATTTTTTATCAAAATGATCTGTAGCGAATATTATAAATCCGACAGTAATAACAACGAAAACAAAACTTTAAAAGCACCTATCCCTTGGTCTCATTGCCCCATTTTATGCTTCCAAGTTTTACCAGAATCTTATACAGAGGAATAGTTTTTGTTATTATCACAAATGTATTTAAAAAAAATATATTATTACAATTAATTTCATATTTTCTCAGAGCTAAATTGCAATTTTTTTTTTCAAAAAATAATTTTATTTATTTCATGTCAGTTGATATTTATATAATAGTGCCACATCCATCAAGTCTAAGTCACAAAAACCAAAAAAAATAAATTATAATGGCCATTTACAACCATAAATAACAATGTTTTTTTTATTATACTAAGGTTATTTTATAATTAATTAACTTTTTTTTTAATACCTAATCTATATTCACATTCATGCACAACATTATTTGATATTTTCTAGTTTGTTAATTAAAAAATTGGTTCGGATATTACGTTTAAAATTTTATATTTCTCCTTATCCCTGCTATGTCTTTCTCTTTTCATAAATAAAGCAATAAAAAAAAACTAATAAAATTATAATTAATTTTTTATATTTTATCTTATCTTATAGTAATATTATATATTTTTGTTTGTATATCTGGATGTTTCATTTTATTTTTATACATATTTTTTTAAAGTTTTTTTTGTAAACTTATACCATGATTTCAGTTTTATTCCAGAATATATACATAATGTGGTGTTTATATAATATATATTTACAGATAACATTGATATAAATTATTTGGGGGTGAAGGGGGAGGGGAGAATGGGAAAAAAATCGTGAGATTTGGTTTTAATTTCACAGGCAGGTGTCATAAATATTCTACTCTATAAAGACGGGTAAACAATAACAGAAATAAATAATTATTTTTCTAATAAGCAATAAAAGCGAACAAAGGTGTGTATACGTGTATTTTATTTATCAGGATAGAAGAAGTTACATTTTATTTTTCATCATATTAATCTCATGATTAAAAGAGTTTAATAATAAAACTTGAGCTACTTTGTTTTTGTTAACATATATATATATATTACACCCTCCAAAAAACCTTTGGGTTTATATATATGTATCTAAAACTTATCAATGACACATAATACTAACAAAAATCACCAGATTATAGACCATTTTGGTATCCCTGAATAATTTAAATAAACTTTATGAATTTTTTTTTTAAAAAATCAGTTTTATTTATGCATTTATTATACGAAATTAAAATGGCGTGTCATCACATAATTTGTATCAATGACGCTTCAAAATCTGTTTTAATGAATGAATGAATCGACATTCTAGTTATATCATATGTTATTGACTTAAATAGAATTGTACCGCTCCCTAAATGGATGCGAGTTAAATTTTTCGATTTTCTTCGCATCTTCCATCAATAAAAGTTTTAAGGAAGACATTGGCCCGCTATCGTGCGGTAATTTGAGATTAAATTTACCCAATCTAGTGTTTAAATCACCGGGTTTTTCCGAAAATGATTTGCGTTTGACCGGATGAGAGAATGGATTAGCGAATAAGGAAGCGCTCCTACTCCTTCCATAATTTGCATTAGGAGTATTTACTTGATTTGAGTCGGGGCTAGGATTTATGATAACGAAATCAGAAGTTTCGTAAGGGAAAGTATAGGCAGGTGGTAATGGCAAATGATTTGGGGAATCGGGATTGAAAGACGTAGTTTCGGTGATGATTATATTCGTTCTCGAAAGAACTAATCCCTTCATTTTTGCCTTTTTTTTCCTGTTCTTACTACTGTCCCTGTTAATGCCGACTTTCCTAAAAAGAAATTTATTTTCACCCAAATACTCCTCTTTAGCGTTAGAGCCAAAGGGTGGGGTAGATATGATCGAAGACAAAATTGTTTCGCGCGTTTCACTGTTTGGCAGTTTCGACATTGTTATTTTTATTGGATTATTTAAATGCTCTATAATAGGACATGAATTTGGGCAAGTTTCGTAACGCGATAAGCGTTTTACAGGTTGACTGGATATGTTTGTTTTGTTCGCTATATTTATGTTGTCGTAGTGGTTGTAGGTAGGGGCTATTCTCAAGGTTAGGTCCTTATGTTTGAGGGAAGCGGTTAGTAAATGCGAAATTTTGCAAGGTTCTCTCGTAACTCTGTACCGACGTTTTCTACTTCTAGCATCTTTGGAACTTTTTTTTGCTAAATTTTTTTTTAGTTTAAAATAATGATTTAAAAAATATTAAAATATGTTCAACATAAAAGCATATTAAATTATGGGTAATATTTATTTTAATTTTTTTTTTGAGGGGTGGGGCTTAAATTAATCCAAGTGGGCAATGTTATAATTAAAAATTAATGTTTTGGAGAGTATTTAGAAATATTTTAGGTAGTATTTTTATTAGCAAAAAATTAATATTTTGGGCCGATTAAATATTGAGCAGTAAAATTAAAATATAAAATGTTTTAATAAATAAAAATTGCCTAAGCAGTTTTATTTTAGTAAATAATCATATTATATAAAATGAATCCATCTTAATTAATCATAAACTAAAAGTGGTTCTCATTTTTAACTTTTTGTACAAATATTAAATTTATTTTTAAAATGGGTTTGGTGAAACTGTAAATGTAGCAGATATAACTTATGCATAGTCGATTAATTAAGTTCTAATTTCTTTTCATATAATATAAACATGGGGATCCCCTTTGGGATTCACTTTCAATATTGATGTAAGTTTATTTGAATATCTTGATCTTAGGACTAATTCATATCTATTTATTCAAAAGATTGATTGCGTTTATAGTGTTATAAATGTAATGTCATACAAAAAAATAAGAATTTATTCACATAGAAGTATAATATAAGTAGGGTATTATATCCAACATCTTAACATTTTGTTTATTAAATTAAAAGATACAATTTTAAAGTATTATACTAACTAGGGCAAGGCAATTGCCCGATTTTGATAATTTATCATACATTTTTATTATATATTTTAAAAAAGGTAAAAATTAATCCCTCGTGGGGCAAAAGAAATTTTAAAACTCCCAACAGTTTTGTCAAGATTAATAATTTTAAAAAAATGCCACCTTGGAAAATAAAGATCTAATTATTTTGGTAATATAACTATTTATTAATAGATTAAATGAAATATGCAATGTTAATTACTTTATTATTAACCCCCTTTGCCCAGGTTAATTTTTTTTTATTTGATAGTTAATTAATGTGAACGTCTAAATGATATAGTTTAAAACTTGTTTCATGGAGATTTATTTCACATTATTTGCAATTTATTTAAATATAGAAATTGATTCTTATAATTACTCAAAATAAACGATATATTATATGGCGTCTACTTTCTATAAATAAAATCACGTATTTTTATTTTACATAAAAAATTCAACATAAAATTGATAATTTAAAGCCCGACCCGGCCCGAATTTTCTTAAAAATATTAGGCCTACTTTTGCATATCTCTAATGAATACTGAGCAAAAGAGTGTTAAATATATCCTGTAATTTAATTTGATGCTTTGTTTATATCATAAGATATTAATCGAAACTTAATTGATAGATGTATATTATAAATAATTTATACCTGCAGAATTTGGAATTTATTTATGCACTCATTTGCAGTTGAGTCAAACCGTTACAATAACATAAAATTCAAAATATGTGAATGAAATGAAATACAACTCAATATCTGCTGTTATATAAAATTCATATTACTAAATACACAGCTCTAACCTTAACTCTATCCTAGCCATACTTAATATAATAACTACCAAAAAAAAATTAATAACCGGGCAATTAAAACACTTGAAAATTAATTAATAACATGCCAGAAATATAAATACCTATAAAATGATTTCTAAATTACCCATATTTAAAATTCATTCCCAAGTCCATAAAAACTTGAAAAATAATTAATAACTTGCCAAAAATTTTAAATACTTATAAAATCATTTGTCCATTTAATTTAAATATTGCTCAAGGAGGTAATTAATATTACTTCCCCATTTTTATAAAATAAACTGCCTGATTTATTATCATAAAAATTATTTTGTTTAAAAAGTCGCTGATCCGTTTCAAAGTTCGGAACCAGAACATAGAGCTCAGCCGGAACCCTTTTAAGATCCAACTGGAACTAGAACTCTTTATGGTCCCATCCCAAACTTTAATTCTTACCTTTTTGCGTTGATTTTGGTATTCGATAGTTTAATTGATAATTGTTAAATGTATCACTGCTTTTTGATATCACGTGAGATGGAATGTTGTTAATCCCAACCAGACCTACAACTTCGTTATAAAATAAGGCTTTCGTAGCAAGATTAGGGGTTAAAGGATTGAGCGAATCCGAACATAGATTCGAATTTGGGATATTGTTTCGAATACTTTTAACATTTTTGAACCCCAAGAGGTGTTTAAGAATTCTTCCTAATCTATTAGGTTGATTATGGAAGTTGGTTGGGTGACGGCTTATAGACTGAGAATGCGTGTTTGTGTTAATAAAAGATTTATAATCGTGTCGAGGCGGTAGCGGTTTGGATGTGATGGAAGAGGTAGATGAACGCCAAGAAGAGGAGAGTGATAGGAAGGAAGGGGATTTAGATAAAGGCACAATTCCCTTATCAATTTTCAAAAAAGGGTCTTTATGTGGAACTTCATTTTTATGGAAAATTTGATAAGGTGAGTGATCGTAATCATGCTCACAATATCGATTATGAGGTAGCGTTACCTCGGGGTAACTAAAAAGCGGCGCCGACGTTTTTGGCAAGCGAGCGTAATAATTGGGCTGATTATTGTTATTCGTGGTTTCGGAGCTTTTAATAAGAGGTTCTTTAAGAAGGCATAATTCCCTCGAATCGTTATAGCTTTTCTCTAAAAACGAGTTAGCAGTTTTAAAGGCCGGCGTGACGAGCGGAATTTGGGATGAATTATTTGAGCATTTTAAAAATGAAAAGTATTCGTTCAACGAATCCACGTCGCTGTACCTTTTGAGGCTCTTCCTAAATTTGGATTGGTCCTGGGGTGCGCTGTAACTGGCTCTGGCTACAAAATAATATTAATTTGAAAAATCTATTAAACACTGGATAAATGTTTTAAAAAGATCATTTTATTTTTAAATCAAGATTACGTATACTGAGTACTCTTATTAACAGAATATTGTTTTTTTATTATTTAAAAAATAAAAAATGTATACTTTTGGGTCTGGCCATCTCCCCGCCCGTCTTGCTTTTAATAGGTAACTCAATACTAGGTATCCTCGTTCTGCTATCTTTGGCAATAGGTTCCCTGGCACCTCTTCGAGCCCTGTCCTCTTTTCCATTCTCATTTTCCTCATCATACAATTTATTATCGAAATAATCGTTTTCTCGTCCTTCGACAGTATCATCATCAATAATTATTAATCCTTCCGAATTCATGCGGGGTTGCTCTTTAGTTACTAGCACATCGCCTTGAAGAGTCACGGCTTCGTCCCTAGCAGCTTTGACCTTTGCCTCAGCCGAATCGCGTTTCTCGTCCTCGGTATTAAGCGTCATAAATCGCAAAACCAACAAATTTATGGCAGCTGACACGACAGTTAAACCGAAGAGTATGAAAATTAAACTGAAGGCTACATATTCTGGCTTTCTTTGCAGGGCGTTTGTCTTTTGTAAAGCGACGTAATCCCCAAACCCTATAGTAGTCAGAGTGATAAAGCAGTAATAAAAAGAATCGAATAGGCTCCAGGATTCGTAGTGGCTAAAAGCGGCCGCACCTGAACCCATGACTAAAGAGCAAAGCAAAAAGTTTATGGTGAGCACCTTACTCTGTGAAACCTCCTTTTCCACCTCTTTATTTTTAACTTGGTCATCGTAGCTAGTGATGAGATTTTCTTTGTCCCTGAACTGTTTTTCCTCTCCCAAGTTGAGATTATCATCGGGCGTTACCGGCTCATATGTAATGTGAATGGATTCAGTTGGTGATTCCTCGAGTCGACTGCCCAAATTGTCCGAGGTTTTTTTGTTAATTAAGCGGTTACGCGTAGTGACTTCGATAGGATTAGCACAATCACTTTCGTTGAATTCTATATATGAGCAATCGGTAATGGATCTGGTACTAATAGTGAGTATCTCGTTATTTTGAACGTATATATCTCCCCCTGCGTGGGCCACCACCTTATTTTCTGGATAGCTTTCGCATTTGTCAAGAATGTGATGCTGATCGACGTAATTTTCATCGCTATTGATATTAATCACGCATGCGGTCCTTCCCAGGTGATTATGATTATTGTTATTCGCGTTAAATTGTTTATTGGGCAGATAGTTTTCATTTCGTTTCTTGGTCAAAGAATTTGGCAAAGATAAACGAGGAAAACTATCACGATTTAAACGCCTTTTGCATCCATTGATACTGCAATATTTGTTGCACTTACGTAGGCAGAAAACGACGAAAGAATTCAATCTCTCACCTATGCTTTGGAACATGACTAGACCTAAGGGTATACCTCCTAAAGCGTAAAACATGCAGAAAGTTTTGCCTGCTATAGTGTTAGGGGCCGTATGTCCATAACCTGCAAATTATAAAATAAGTCTTGATTATTCACTATATATAAGAAAGTAACGTAGTTAATAATGTAGTTAAAGATTTTATATTCATATTAAATATATCATAAGTCTTAAGCGGTCGACATTTTAAGTGCGGCCCGAAACAATATTTTTTTTTTGAATTTTTTTTAACTCGACCTGGATTTTATTTTTGATCATTTTGCGACCAGGCCCAGAATTTTTAAAATTTTATCATTTTGAATTAATTTGCAAATCATTTCAAAGAAAAATTAAAAATATGAAGAGTAATAATTTCTAAAAAATAGGTCCAAATTTTTTTAAAAATCTTTAAGCCCGGCCAAGTATTTATAAAATCATAGTATATATGGTGCTTTCTGGGTTGGACCTGAATAATACTCTTTTGCACCTTTTAAAATTAAACTATAAGTAGAATTAGTTCCCAGAAGAGACTTGCCGGGGCTTATTTGCTAGAGGCATGCAGAATTCATGATACTTTTTTTTTACTAATCCTAGCAGCATTTTTAATCACCCATTTTCAAACAAATTTAATTGTAAGATCCTGGTCTGCGGGTCTTTAATAATATGTCATATTCTAATTATATTACATATTTTTTATTAAATATTATATTTTCATATGATATATCTTAATTATATCTATATAATATAGGATTTTATTATAGAATATTTAATTATAAAAAAAGAAGTTTATTAGTTTCGATTTAAGGAAACCTTTTATTAATATATATATATATTAAAGTAGGCGAACCCAATGTTCTCCTGAATATTATAGTTATATTATTATTACTTGAAATTTATCATTTAGAACCTAGAGGATTTTTATAATTTTCTTTTTAAATTTCATAATTATATATATATTACTAGACTAGCGATTCGAAGTGTCCTTACATATGAGTAAGCTATAGTGCAATTTTATGGTTTTCACGTCGACTAATTTGCTTATTTATCATCAATACCTATGTTTTTTAATAGCGCGCACTCCTACGTATGGACGCTTTTAAATGCATTTAATAAACGAATCGCCAATCTAGGTAGTATAAATGTTAGAGGCAGTGCGCTTTTTCCGGCAATGTGTTATTTTCGCAACTTTAAATCATTTTTTGAACGCGTTTATCTAAATTAAAAATCTGATTTTACCGAAAATGTATTCCGGAAAGTTTAAAATACCTACCTTATAAATTATAGACAATTTTGCAGCTAGCCTTTGAGTCATTTATAATTTGCATATAAAGTCAATGGAAAAACTAATATAAATTATATTAAGTTAGAAAGTTCAAAATTTTCAGAAATTCGTAGGGAAATTAAGATAACCAATTCCGCAAAATAATATATATATTTAACAATGGGAAAAATAACATATATAACAATGGCGAAGAATTCAAATTTAATGAAATACATTTCCCGTATAATCAGATATTTAAATTTAAAAAAACGAAAAATAGGGTCTTATTCTTATTGCATTTTAAAAAATTTTGGTCATTTTTTAGCAAGTAGATTACCCAAACGTAATATGGATTGATGACATATTTCCCACGTTAAAAAAACATAAAATTTATTGGATTTATTCAATATTTAATTTAACCCATGATTTTGACCCTCTTTTTAAAAGATAAAAAATTACAAAAAAAAAAGAATAAAATCAATAAAAGGTCCCCCACCCCCAAATAAGTCGGATAAATTTTCGACAAATTAGATCTGTTTTTTCTCTCTACAATTTTTTTTTAATTTAATATTCAAGTTTATTTGGCAATTTTTATTTTGTTTTATCAGGAATGTTTTATTTCTCAATGTTTTACGTTAAAAAATATTAAATATATATAAATTTATAGTTTTCGACTTTTGATGAATATTTTAAAATTCTATTTTTGTTTTTATACGAATATGAAATAAACAATTATTTTTTATATGTTTATTAATATAAATCTTATTCATTTGTCAACGATTGATAACTTCTTAATCTGACAGGTGATGTGATTTAAACGGCACATCAACGGCTTGTGAAATACTTTTCTTTGTTAAAACTAATTTGCTGTAAAAAGGGGCATGTCCTAAATTGCTTTTGAGATTGATATTGTGATCAAAGGGAAAACGTACGTAGCTTTGTCTAAATTTAGCAATATTCAAAATTTTAAATGAAATTCAGCCCCCCTCTTTCCCCATTTATAGCGCCATATAACTAAAAAAAATTGAGATAAAGAGATCTGCAATAAAGTATGTTTGGCAACTCGACCCAAAAGTGTTTCGGGTTCTGCCTATTTTTTTAAAAAAATTGATCAGAAATGGGTAGGACATAATATATTATTTTTTAAAAAAAATATTATGGCCAGCCGTGCTTTTTGCAATAAAATAAATATATTATAAAATTTTTGAAAGAAAGTGGTCAAAATCTTTTAATTGTTTGTAAAATGATCTCTATTATCTTCAAGTGCAAAAAAATGTGAAACTCGATTGAAAAAATAATAATTAATTTATATATATTTTAAAAAATTTCTCGGGCGGACAAATAATTTTTATTTCGGGCCGGACTTTTAGGGATAAAATAAAAGAAACATCTTTCGGGATCGATTCGGACCGGACAAGTTTTTTAAAAACAATTTCGGGCTGGGTTTAAAAAATCAGGCCCGATACGGGTCACTAATGGAGATAAAGTTAAAGTAATTCGATATCGAATAATGAAAAATTGATGTACGGAATCTTAATTTAAAATCGGATAAATCGAGCCGTAACAACACCAACCCCATTGCACACTTTACATTCTATTATATTTAAATTGTTTTCGTTGCTTCCCATCTTACGCTTATCCTGCCTTCATAGTTAGTGCGAATTCGTGGCGAAGTAAATAAAAATACACAAAAATAAAGCATATTGTGAATACTTGGATACAAATTCAATTGTGTTGGCAGAATAACCCATCATTCACATTTAGCTGGAATCCGCTGTGGAAAATACAAAAATACAGCATATTTTGTATAGTTTGCAGAAATTCGCTCTAACTATGAACGAGGGGTTACACAGAGCCTGATGCCAAAATCAGAGTGGCACCTAATTTATTAATTTCCACAAATTGGCCAGTTATAAAAAATAATGATATCCTTTTTTTCAAGGCTATAAATAAACCCCTATCTATGGTATAAAAAACACTTTTATAAGAATTTAGATTTCAGATTTTATTTTTTTTTAAAAAAAACATTATTTTTCATTAATAAAATACATTTTTCGTGGAATTAATTCATTTATTATTTAGTGTATTGGTGAAGATATTTTGAAGGATTATTAAAGATCGATTAATTCATTACAAATACGATATATTTCTTTAAATTGTATTTAAATGAAGATAGATTTTGATTTTGTTAATAGATATCCAAACAAAATCTCTAGGCTTTCTCAATATTTTTTGGCTGAAATATTGGGTTAACCGTTTTTAAAAATAGAGCCCTTTAACAACACTAATAATACAAGTATATTGCAGTGTTGTTATTTTGGTAGGTATCACATTTTATAAAGTAACTCGTTACAGTTTCTAGTTACATTTAGTCTTTCACAAAAAAATAAAATTTTTTTTTTAATACTATATACTTATTTATTATAATCTATCAAATAAAATTATATGAAAATAAACATATCAAATATAAAATAAAATAAAACCTTATTCTATAAAAACGGAAGTAGGCCAACAGTGTGGGGCCTTGGTTAGAGCATCAACTCGATTCCGTGACCAATGGGACTACAAGTTCCCAAAAAACAAGAATAATTATATTTTTAAAATAGTAATTTGTAGATTTTGTTTTAAAAAATAATATTCTTCAGGTTCTGATGTAAGGGCTCTTATCTTATCGCCTATATTTTTTAAAAATTTTAAAGTTTCGCTTGACATATGTCCTAGGGAAGAGATAACGATTGGTATAAAAATATAAGATGGAGATAAAAAAAACAATTAAATATTCAAAATTAACAAATTATATTATTATACCAATCGTTATCTCTTCCCTAGGACATAATCAAGCGGAAATTTAACAAAAATATAGGCGACAAGATAAGAGACCTTACATCAGACCCTAAAGAATATTATTTTTTAAAACAAAATCTACAAATTACTATTACAAAAATATAATTATTCTTGTTTTTTGGGAACTTGTAGTCCCACCTCCGTTTTAATAGAATAAGGTTTTATTTTATTTTATATTTGATATGTTAATTTTCATATAATTTTATTTGATAGATTATAATAAAAAAGTATAGTATTTAAAAAAAAATTATGTTGTATAAAATTTATAAATCCTAATATTTTCCAGAAATTTTATAGTTCTCAGCATTTATTTTGTAAAAGATTTAGTTAGCCTTAAGACTCAGAAAGTTATATAGTATGCATGCAAGCAAGATTGAAAGAAAGAAAGAAAGAAAGAAAGAAAGAAAGATAGAAAGAAAGAAAGAAAGAAAGAAAGACAGTAAGAAAGAAAGAAAGAAAGAAAGAAAGAAAGAAAGAAAGAAAGAAAGAAAGAAAGAAAGAAAGAAAGAAAGAAAGAAAGAAAGGCCTTCCCTTCCCTTCGGATTCTGAAAAATCTATATAGCCTAGCATGTTGTTGAGGTAGCGCTCTAATTAGTTATATAATAATAAATAATTTAATAATTATTTATAAATATATATTTTATAATTAAATTTTGAAATTGAATTCATAACTTTGAAAATCAATTTTTTTTGATATTATAAATTATTAATTAGACCAAGTGATGGAAGATATTTAAAAAATATGTTTTGAAAATGAAATGGACAAATAAATAAGAATGATTATACTAAAATTATATTTAAAAAAAGAAAATAATTAAGATTGCTAGGGGGTGCTTCTTTTCCTTTTCCAAAATTTGGGAAATATACTTGTATATATATATATGTCATATGATATGGCGATGAGGGCGAATTTCAAATTTGAAAATCTGATTTGACCAGAAATGCAATTTCAGACAGAATTTTCGAATTCTTAATTTATAT